CATACATTTTGGAACATCAAGATGAAAGAGTAAATTACTACGGAGTGTGTATGTTGTACCATGCCACCCACGGCAATAGTTTCTTCCCTTTTGCGAAATTCACCAAAATAAGTTTATAGTTGGATTTATATACTTGAAAAAACCCTATATAGGTATTTCGTAAACAGCTAAACTTCAGAAAAAGGTTATATTAGTCGAAATAAAGAGAAAAAATATCATATTTTTCCGTAACCTATTTGTTAACCAAATGGCCGCAACTTTTTATTTAAGTATCTTATTTTTTATATTTTCGTTGAATAAAGTTTTTAGCTGTATTAACTTGCTAGACTGAGCCTTACGTTGCCTTATTTTACAGCTAAAGTGATATTTCAGCTATTTTGTTATTCATAGTTTTTGGACTAGATATCGTGTGATAAGACATGTCAAACGATAATTAAAGGTGTTCTTGACATTTTGAAAAGTCAAACTGCATAAACTCAATCTTTTACACAGGTTTCTTTTACCTCAAAATGCATACCAAGTCATAAATATCAGCTGGAAAGTACATCTGGTTTAAACGGCGTTTTGGGGGAAATGTTATTCGTGATTTTCTCTTTATTGTAGCCTTTAAAAGATTTATTTAGAGGTTGTCTGTTTACGTACGGAACTCTCTGTATATTGAAAATGTATATTGATTCAGCAATGTAGATTCCTTTGGTAATCAGTCCACAAGGAAATTGTCATTTAATGACCTCTTAGTCCATCTTACACTAACAGCTAAGGGAGCTTTAGTTGATGGAGTATCCAGTTTGGTGGTTCACTTTACATAGAATGCTTCAAAACTATTTACTTAGGTGCAGAATCTTTCGTCCAACTGCTTAAGAAGTTTAATGGACGATTGTTTTTGTTTTAAATAAGCAATAAACTGTAAAAATACAAATTATAAATTATTGTCAATTGTTTGTGAAAGCGACGCACTCTTAGGTGAGTTTTTTTACATTAAAATAATATGTATTATCAATGTAGAATGGAGTAAGGCGATAAGGAATAGCCTTGTCATGAGGGAAAACACCAAAGGTGAGCTATTTTTTTGCTGTAGAAATACATGAGTTTTCGTCCAAACTAAGTTATTCTTTCACGTTAACAAACAAAACAACATCTATTTATGCGCTTTAAAAGCGCACAACACAAATGCTACTAATATGTAAACTAATATGTAATATGTATATTTATTTTAATATCAAAATGTTTTAAACTTAAATTAAACACTATTACACACCTTAGTAAACATGTACTGTTTCTTTAAATCGTGTAATGTAGAAAATCTGTATTAACATCTTTAGTCCAGTACAAATTAAACACACGTTGAAAAAATATGTAACAGCTGAAATCATGGTTCTTGACCTTAAGAGAGGGTTCTTCGAAAAATATTTCCCAGGTTGTTTCATATCAAGACTGTTCATTCAAGGGGTGGCTAGGTGTGACACTTTTTTTACGGTTTTTTTAAAGTTCTCGTTACTTACTACATGTATAGATTCAAGTTCCATCATACAGATTAACAACATTCTTATTCAATACACTCGATATGCTGTATGTACACAAGTATATGGAATAAAGTTGGACCACTTTAAATTTTTTTATGACACGAACTTGGATTTTAGTTTTATTTGTGTTATTTTTTTCAAATTGTGTGGAAACAATAGTTTTAAACACAACGAACTTCTCTTTTACTATTCCTTTTGTATTACTATAACAAACAGAAGCAAGTACAATAACTGAGTATTAAAATATTTTTTAAATATAAATTGTCAAAAGCCATAAAACACTTGGTCACCAAGTCCTTGTTAAATTGATTGATTATAACTTTTTTACCACAATTGACAACCCATTGTATTCACGCTATTGTATTAACTGCGTATGACAGCATAGATTGTTTTCGGGAATGATTTATGATTTAATGACAGGTTCGCAATACTGCATCCTGTCACTTTGATACTGCACCTATTGACATCCAAAACGCTAAGTAAATATCTTAAACCTAGAGTGGTATCTTGATTATTATCACAGGGTTTTTTATATAACAAAAATCATAAAAGAAAAAAACTAGGTAACATTTTTACTCCTAAGTTTGTTTTCATTCTTATGAGGTTTATTGCAAAATAAAACACTTCTGAGTGTTGGTAAAAATTTGTTAACGAACCCTAATGCATTTATTACAAGTTGATAAAGTAAAACATTATTAAAAATGATTTTATTAAATTTTTACCGATGTATTATGAAGGTTTATGGACTAGTTTATGTAAAAAAAAAAAAAAAAAAAAAAAAAAAAACATAAACCATCATTATTCCGTATATTTATCACGTTTGACTAAAACTTCAAATAATGCATTTTTTACCCCTAGATTAATGGCCACTTTTATTAGCCTACACCTGTGCCATAAAGCACAGATTTATTATTTATTTATTATTTATTATTTATTTGATTTATTGTCTGTGGTGTCTTAGGTCTGTGAGACCGTTTTCGTATTTTAACAATATTTTATCTAGGTTTTAAAACTATGAAAATACAACATATAAACCATGTAAAATGATTACTGTTATATTATTTTACATTATATAATAGTATTACATTATAGTATTATACAGGGTGAAAAAAAGTCTGGAAACGGCTTGATATCTTCTTAACTAAATTCGTTAGAAAATTCAAACCTTTCACATCAACTTATATGTATGAAATCTACTTTTTGCAACCATTGCCATTTTTTTACCTTCACCAGGGGACGGCCCATGAGGAGTAGGTACATAATCTTTAATGTAAGCATAGGTTGATATGCACTTGATTCTGTCACCATGTATATAGTATTACATTATATAGTACTATTATTCATCGACCAATCACACCTTAGATGTCTTCGGTGTAGGGGACCGAAGTAAAGACTGAGTCGAGGTAGGAAGGTAGCAGGAGACACAAGTCCTGCACCCTAGCGGGCGGAGCAGGTACTTCAAAATACCGCGTCATTGGACTCACAGACCGGAGACATCTTTCTAGCCCTAATGATATTTTACACTATACCATAGTTATAGATATGATGCCTAGTAATATATTACGTCATTGAAAAGTCTTCCATTATGAACGTTGTTCTATTTTAATATATTAAAAACTTGGCAACCAATGTAAATAGCATCAAGTTATATTCTAGAATAGTTTAAGATGAGACGCATGGATTTTATATAAACATTAATACGTGTTTCTAGTAGTTTCTTCTAAAACCAAACAAAACGAGGAAAAAGTCTATTGATGAACGTTTGTGGTTTTAACATTCATTAGATTTAAATACGTATTGTTTTCAACCAATGTGGAGTTACGTGTTTTATTCTTAACTGATCGATAAAGGATTCTTATTTTGATCATATGAAGTCAATCCGTTAACTGCCTTAGGTTATAAACCTCTATACAAATTTTAAAGCATATAAAAGAAAGTACAATTAATTATAAAAAAACACTGGTCGTTCTTAACTTTAGTCACGAAAAAGTTGTATAATGTTTAAAATACCTAGTTCTATTTAAGAGTAGACCTTGTTCAATACTGATTTGAATGTTAACAGTTACAACACCATATCGTTCCCACAGTTGCCATTAGTATAGTAAATTACCCATTGAGTTAACCCCATTTGATGTGTTTGTTTGCAGTGCTCCAAAACTTTATCTAATTTATTCACATGTAACAATCATAAAAGTGGTCTCTGAACTCAAAATGTGAGTAGTAATTACTTATATAATATACATGGCCTGACACACAGTATTATCATTGTATTGAGATTTGGAAACCATCGAATGGGATTCAAACAGTCAAACGGAATATTTAAAACTGTAGTATTGACACTAAAAGCATTTCAAATCTTTTGTCAACTTGTATTATGCATGACAGGATATGCAATATAGAGCACTATTGTGTGACAAAATCATCTGTCATCTGGTTCTGACAGAATGTCGATACTGTGACAAACACACGCACACTTAAACACAATCTACACAACACAGATAACACACATAGCTGTAACACGCATTCGATAAAACTTACTGTACATGAATAATGGATAAATATAGCTTCCAGCAATGGGATTAGTTTTAGGTTAATATGGGGTGATAAAAATGTAGTCTTCAGTCCTAAGTGTTATATCTATGCGATGTAGGTGCTACGTTGAGCCTTCTTAACTTAAAAGTATAGTAGAAATAATTTATAAATATACTAGCTTTATTTATAATTTTGTTGTTGTTACTTATTCAAAGCAAAAGAAAAATTCACTTGGAAAACTGATTGATCTTGTACCTCCTTTTTTATTAAAACGACATTATATCCATCAGATAAAAGATTTCAGGAGTTAGATTGCACAAAGAGGCAGAGTTTCAGCTGGAAGGAACTAAATCAAACCGTAGATATATCAAACACTCCAATGTTCATTGAATCCAGCTTTGCTTCGTTTGTGCGTAGAATACTGAAGTGTCTTCACAAAAAAGCTATTTCCCTTATCGACGCTCTTTTTAGACAAGTTTATCGAATATCGGCAACAGTTTCTTGTTTTGTCATTATCTTTACTTGCTCTGAAAGCAGTCTCGTTTCTACTTAGAATCAGACTTTACATCGGCAAGTTATTGATACGATATTTATGGATTCAATAAATATGACTTCGTGTTTGGTTAATACAAATTCAATGTTTAATGATGATATATAATTCTCTTTTTCAATGCATTAGTATGTAATATTTTTTAGATTATAATACTTTTCATTTAATGAGTTCATATTGGAAATTTATTTGATAAATACTATAACAAGTGTAGTCACACATCGTGTACACAGTATACTGCTATAATATTTCATTTCTGTTGTACAACGCACGATATTGTTTCTGTAATCCTTACTTATCTATCAATAAGCTTCATGGTGGATTAACTAATTTGTAAATTCATCCAAAGGCTTTAAGGGTAATAAAACACATATGTACATAAAATTATACAAGTATTTATTGTTACAACCATTATATTACAATATAAAGCATGTTCCTTACATGTACAGTTTCATACTTGATAATAAAATGACTAGAAATGTTACTATTAACAATGTGAGATTTTTTAAAAATTATAAAACAAAATTGATTAATTTATAAAGTGCCAAGTACATCAGCACCTTAGGAGGACTAGAAGCTTCGTAATCGAGGCTTTAGCACTATGTCTGTGAATATCTATGAATCGACTATACATTGTACGCTATTACTGACTATCAAAAATATTTTTCTCCAAATACCAAACTAAATTAATTCTATCGAATAACACTGCATCTCAATACTTGGACAGTGAATGTGTACCGTGCCTTTTATAATCATTTGGACTTGAAAATGTGTTGATTGAAACAACAAACATTAAAGGAAGATAAAAGATATGAACAATGGAAAGACATTTATAGAGGAAATACTGTGTAACCAAGCGAAACATCTTTCAATTCTTCACGAGTTACCCGCATTTACTTGAAAATTGTATTTAAGCTCAATAAAAACATCATAATTAATTTGGTAATGTTTGTTACACCAATCACACCTTGATTTCAAGAACTTTAGGTTGAATTGGATTATTAAGGTTTATTAGTACATGTTTTTAATTATACAAATAAACTGACTAACCTAACCTAACCTATAGTGTGATCGATATAACAGAAAATACCACAGGCTATTTTGGTGTATTCAAAACACCGTAGGCTACGACAAAAATCAACATTCTGTTTTCGAATAGAGTTAAACATACCGAAACAAAGAGCTGATTTCAATTTAGGAACTTGATTCATACAAAGCTCACGTGCTGCAAGCTGAATAGTTGAAAGAATAGCGTGTCACCAGCCTCGGTGATAAATCTGTCCACCACCGCTCCAGCGGAAGGCCAACAACGACCACAAACAAATAAAGCGATATCACACGGCGACAGCGAAATAATGATTGTTTCACTCGTATCGTACTACACTAAACGTGGCAACGAAACTACACGACTCTGTGATTATCAAAAGTGACGGTAAAATCAACGCTATTTACAATGTACACGGGGTGGGCTGTGGAGTTGCTCACTGTAGCTGCATGGTTACCCAGACGACGGCCCGGGGATGCACCAAGCCTCCTATCTCGCAGTTGACTGTCCTAGTCTCTCCGTTGACCACGAACAGCGCCTCGTTGGCCGGAGTGACCATGTAGTGGCCGAACACGCCCGAGGCCGCGATTGGTCTGTTGGGGTTGCCCCATTGGGAGAGGGAGGGGTGCATCGCTTTCCCCACACCGGTGATCATCTCCACCTTGCCTGTGGATAATTAATTGATTAATTGATTGTTATAGTCAGTAACATTTTCTTATACCATTAAGCCTGAAAAATTGTCTGGGTACTTAAAAAATTGTCTTATATATTTTTGTTATTTTTTATCTGCGATTACAATGTTAACAGTTTTTTTTCTGCTGATTACAGTCTCACTGATGTTAAACAACCAACTGAAGGTAGCCAGCTAATAATCTACAATTAATTTCCATTCAAAAATGGAAACAAGAAAGTTTATACTTGAGACAAAATTAAGGTTAAGTCATCAGCAACCAATGGTCATTCGAAAGCTATCTTCAGAAATAGAACAAATGCTAGGGTGGGAGAAGGCATAACAGCAATTGCCTGTTTAATTACTATTCGTCATTCAGCTGGATATAAGCTTTACAACGACACCTAAGTCGTATAAATCGGTTCAGTAGGACAAGTGAATCTAGTCTATGAATCTAGTCTAATCTAGTGACTCTATATGATACTAAGAAACCCCTTATTTGATAAGTATATAGAAGATGGATGTTTTGTACAATTGTTTGGGAAATTGTTATAGACCTACTTCCATTTCCATTATTGATACACACGTTTTCATTAAGTAAGGCATGCACACGTGTTGTACACACTGTTAAGCATTTCTTTGTATACATGTTTCCCTCAAGGATCTGCTTAAACAATTTTACATTACCTGTGACCAGATTGAGGAACAGTATATCCTCTTTGTCTACGGCGCTGGCGTACAGGTCATACCCGTGGGTTGTCTGGGACGGGTAGAACGTCATGTCACTGACATTCAGCGTCGTCTTTACGTCGAACAGAAACTTCAGTCCGGACTCTGTAAGGGTTAAAACATTAAAATATGTTGATAGTTTTTGTTACAAGTAGAGTTTTCTATAGCCTATGTACATATGTTTTTTACCGTACATATTTATTGTATTGCCTAACCATGATTCCCAACGTTAAAATGTGCGTAAGTTAGATTGAAACTACAATGAAAAACTCGTTGTACTTAATACGATACTATGTCATTTTAATATTGACAATCGTACTAAACTTAACAAGGCGTATTGGGTATTTTTTATATGGCATGTGTGATGTAACAACATTTAACTAAAAGTGCGTTTCATGTAAAAAAAATTCATTAACATAAGCTTTACCTTATAAAAATCATTTATTTAAATAAGCTTCTTACCAAGGCCATGTTGACAATTCAGCCAACACCAGAGAAGGGGAGGAACCAATGGCGACCTTACTACTTTGATCTATAAATGTTCTATTCTGTAAGTACCTTTTTTTGTACTAGTTTTATGTCGTATTTAAATATTTTACCTAAATTTGATATTTTTTGCATCTTGTAAGGAAAAGGCCTAACCTCAGCTATGTTATAGTCGTCCTGTTGTAAGATACAATTATTTAGTACTGACCATTTGAAAGTATGATATAAACATACCAGTGACTTGCTGCACTACCAGTGTGACTCCATCTCTGGCACGGTCCAGGGTGACCACAGTTCTAGAGTTGGGAGAGACCATAGGACGACCTGACAGTCCGACCTTCTGGCTGATCACAGCGTCTGTCAGGTAGTCCAAGAGGATCTGACCGGTAGCTCGACCTGTCACCGGCTCTTCGCACTCCACAATAACGAAACCATCTGTAGAAAAGTGTCTACTATTAAAAATTTTTCAATATGCTTTCTCATAATATGCCTTCAAAAATACTATTTTTAACGTAATTAACTTATACATTAACTCAACTTCACAAACACAAACACAAAATCCTCCATAACACAAAGGATGTATTGTGTTACCTGGTTGTTTGCTGAGTCACCCCACCGAATCATATCAAGCCCAGATTTAACTGCTGACAGGTTTTTTTATCCATATAAATCAGTAAACAACCCCTTAAAGGATTTGTGCTGGGGACAAATGTTTCAAGTTTTATTTCGTTAAAATTACCAAGCGAATGTTCCATTTAAAATAATATAGTTGTATTTTTCATGGGCATGAGTGACTTATGCTTGTTTAAATAGAAACTTCCTCAAGAACTCCAAGTGGAAATGACGAGGAGGTAAAAAAAACTATAAAATCTTTATTGAAAAAAAAACTTTTGTCTGATCCTACTGATTAGTAAATTTACTGCCTGATTAACCATTTTATACTAACTCCTAATTGTTATTCAAAAACTCTTATATTGATCATTTGCTCTTACATTGGCCGATGCTAGTATTTTTCTTATTCAATAGTGTGTCACTTATCCAATTACTCTACACTTACATAAAGCTGAGAATTGCATGGAGCGAGGTACACAGTTGTACGGAGTTAGGTCCAGACTACGAATGTATCTCATGTTGGCTAGGTCTAGCTTGTACAGTCCTCTCTGGTTGGTGTGGCTTACATATCCGTACTTGAACATGTGGGACATATCCTGGGGGGAAATCAATGAGTAAACACATGGAAAACAATTACAAGCTTTTGAACTGACAAAATCTGTCCAAATGTAATTTTATAGTAGCATTATCACCTTCTTCAAATTATATCACAGATATCCAATCAAAAGATGTTTATAGAGCTCCAACACTATTTTCAATATTTTCCAACACATTGGTGAAATGTATTATTGACGGTACACTTTTTCTTGAAGCTTACAGAAATTAAACAATAAATCAGTGATATAATCAGCTGGTTCTACTGGCTCACCTGTATAGGTGGCATGAAGAGGTCCCGCACCAAGTCGAACTGCCCATCTATCGGCTCCGGGTGTACAGTGTGGTGTTTCCTCTTCTGCGCGGCGTCTCTGATGACCTGGATGGTCTTTACACCTTGGTCTCGCTCACTGCGCCAGTTGAGCACCCACACTTGGTCCATGTGAGGTACGTAGTGCAGCGCCACTGGGTTCTTGTCGGTTACAACCACCTGGAAGAAAAATGTTAATGTACTTATCTGTATTTTTTAACTATGAAATATTTTGATAATATGAAATTATTGATGTATTAACGTTCTTGTTGGATGATAGCCCAGAAAACAAAATGCAATCTAAGTCTCGAGCTTATTCACTTGGAAGTATACAAGCGACCTTCAGGCCGGGAAAAGAGGGCTATATAGATTGCTGTGTATTGACGATTAAATTTATTCTTATCAATGATTGTATGATTTTTGACCAACGTGTAATTTTTCAGTGGGCTATCAATCAATGATTCTCATATAAAAGAAAATGCCAAAGCTATAAGTAAGAATAGGGTTCAGACCATTCCTTGGCAAAATATTCTAGCGTCGTAAAAAAACCACACGAAAAATCATATACAATAAAATTTATTGCTTGTGCATACACCTGACCCAACAAATAGTTTGCATATTTCCATTTAAAAATATACAAATATATAATTACACATTAACACCGGCATATTTAACTATGGGCTACTTCAATTACAGCTAAAAAGGTTCTAGTACACTTACATCCACTACGACCATCTGTATCTTGCTGATTACAAGAACTCTGTCCTTTAGAGGCTGAGAGACGTACACATATCTGTTGGCAACGTTGATTGCTTGACCCCAGCTACAGTTGACACCCTTATCACCGCATACGTACTCCTGAAGGCAAAGAAACAAAATAAACTAATTATCTAAAATGAATAATATAATTTTTAATTTTGATTGAAATATTTCCAGGTTGTCTATTTTAGCATAATATTTTATCCATTAATATTTAAAGACCCACTATACTCATACAAGACATATTCTTGAAAAATTATGTTTCTCAATACCTCATTCCAAATCTATAAAATTTATGCAATATAATTAATTATATATAACCATGAGTACAATTTAGGTGACACAAACTTCACCTAACAAAGTATATTTTTTGGACTTACAGGAACGTATAGGAACGTCACGTTCTTATTTGTAAGTTTATATTTCAACAATGAAGGCTAAGGTACAATTTATATTCTAAAAAAGTAGTAAATAAAATATTTAATTCTTTGCAAAATAACGGATGTCAGAATATATATATCTGTTAAAGAAATAGTTAAGTAACAAAAAATACATGAATAAAATAATTGAAATACAAGTAAAGGATGGAATAAAACAAGGTAAAACAAAATAAGTTAAATAAACATACTCTACATTTACTAATGGCATTTTAAATAAGGGAGGGAAATTAAAACAAAAATCTAATGAAGATAAACAAATAGGTATGCAAATGTAAATTAACATATAATAAACGAAATGAATAAACAAAGTGCTGACCTGTGTGCCAGGTATGATATCAGTAGACTGTATCTGATGGTAAAGTCTACAGGCTGTAGGCTCGTACACAGACACTCCCCAGTCATGGAAGGAGAAGAATCGTCTCTCCTCATTGGGCGCAGCTGGGACAAACACGAGTAGAACAAAGGTTTATTGTTATCAGATAGTTAAATTTAGTCATGATCAACACGATTCATGATACTCTCATTGAGCTCATATATTTTAAAGAGATTATAATTCCATATAATTTATTATACATGGTGTCCGTTAAGTCTTAGGACGACTTTATAACTTTTAAACGACAAAAACGATATCACAACCACATTTGGTATACCGTTACTGGAAAATGTAAGCTACTTTTTTGTGTACATAGTGGTCGGATATCACCTTTGGGGGACGGCCCGTCGGGGGTCAGAAGAAAATCTTTAAAGACAGCCTATGTTGAGTTGTACATCATTTTAAAGGTCTACTTCAACTGAAAACAATGCCGCAAACCGCACTTCAAAAGGTTGATCCTGCGCAAAATGGCAGATGTTCAAAGATTTTCAAAATTAGCCAATTTCTAAATTAAAACACTTTTTTAAATCTTTAAACAACTGTCATTTTGCGCAGGATCAACCTTTTGAAGTATGGTTTGCGGCATTCTTCTTTGCTTAAATTTCCCTTTAAAATGATCCCCATAACTTTACATTCAGTGATCCAAATAACTCTTCAGGGCGACGGCCCACAAGGAGTCGGAAGTCTTGAATGGAAGCATAGGTTGATATGCACATCAAATTATAGGTATTTATTAGTAGAATACAATGCCGCAAACCGTACTTTAAAAGGACCATCCGTTAAAAAATGACAGTTGTTTAAAGATTTTAAAAAGTGTTTTAATTTAAAGAAATTGGCTAATTTTGAACATCTTTTAACATCTGCCATTTTGCGCAGGATCAACCTTTTGAAGTGCGGTTTGCGGCATTGTTTTCAGTTCAAGTAGACGTTTAAAATGATGTACAACTCAACATAGGCTGTCATTAAAGATTTTCTTCTGACCCCCGACGGGCCGTCCCCCAAAGGTGATATCCGACCACCATGTACACAGAAAAGTAGCTTACAATTTCCAGTAACGGTATACGAAATGTGGTTGTGATATCGTTTGTCGTTTAAAAGTTTTAAAGTCGCCCTAAGACTTAACGGTCACCCTGTATATGCCTTTTTTCAAGAGAGAGTTTTCTTGAATAATGACTTGAGGATACTACAGGAGTGTTATGAAAATTAATTTCATAGGGTGAAAAAATGTATACAGAATAAAATGGTGAGTTGGTATAACAAGGGCATCTATATGGACACCGAAAGTGTATTTTAATCGATTACACATGGCTTAAATATATATATTTTTCTACATTATAACCACCCACACTAACTAACTAACTCCTCACAAAATTGTAGGATCCGTTAGTCATACAGGTGTTATATTTTAAACATAATTTCCTTTAAGTCTTTATGTGCGTAACCAAAAATAGTAAACCCTCCTTAAATCTTAACAACATAAAAATGTAGTAAAGAAGAACTCCATCATTTATATATTGATACCGATGTACACGCCACAGATACATGGACTAACTGTAGGCAGTTTTGCATGTACTACGGACACATTTAGACAAGCCATTCTCAAAGTGTGCTCGAGTCTAAATTTTACCTTCTCTTCTTTGATACTCTTGTTGTTTATGATACGTAAAGGAAAGTTTATAGTTATCAGTCTATTCAGTCTGGTCTGATTAAACGGTTTGCGAATGTAAAACAATTAAGTAATTTTTTACATCTTGGACTTGGATGTGGCTCAATTTGACTTCATTAATTGTATCAATATACTGTTTTGCTTTCACTTAGGAGAGCTTGTCTGGTGATAGGTAGCAGGACCTCAATCCCGAAGGTGCCAGGTTCAAATCCCACCATTAATGACTTAGTTCAGTGATAATACCTCAATCCTCTTCGTCTAGTCTGAAGTAATCTGCGTGTGTGACTTTTGTTCCGCGGTTAAAGGCTAATTTCTTCATATCACTTTTGTTATGGGGGTTAGCAGGTAGATTTTGGGACCGGCCTAAACATCGATTCTGTTCCGCGGACATCTCTTTTGTTCCACGAGAGAGGAGGTTGCACTCTCCCTCCCCTAAATCCTCTCTTTCACTCTCCTCCAAGCTTTAAACCACGGAAAAAAGTGGTACAGGCAGTAATCTGCAACACGATTTTAACTAAGAACCTTTACCCTTCTAAGCCTAGAACGTTTAAGCGTTCTATGACGTGAAGGTGGGACTAAATCTACACTATGACTCACTAGGGGTCGGCTCCTCCTGTACGATGAGGGATGATATGTCCCTGGTGACTCCTCCTACGTTGGTCGCCTGACACATGTACGCTCCAGTGTCAGCGTAGCCGATGTTGTGGAGCCTCAACTCCGTACCGTTGCCGATGATACTGTACTTGTGAGGAAAGTCCAGCTTGAGAGGCTCGTCGTTTTTCAGCCACTCAACCTAAGAACAGATTAAACCATGAGCAAAAGGATGTTATTTTTCATTAGAGATGTGCTTAAATTTAGAGTCACCATAATATCTGAGGAAATGTATTGTTTATTTATTTTATTTCCCAAAAGCATTGCCGTTTTACAGTAAAATACATTTATAACTAGAAATAAACTAATATATAAAGTAAATGAGTAGTAACAAATATAATATATAATTATTATTTGTAATAATAAATATTTACAATTACAAATAGAAAATTATAGATGGCAACAAGTAGTATAAAGTGCGTGAGTTAGATCAAAAGATTTGTGAAAATTTGATATACTGTACTATTTGGGAACGCATTTGGGAAAGAACTGTAATATACTGTAATTAAAATAGTGTGACAATAGATTGAACAAGGATCTTGAGGGTAACAAAAACATATTAAACGTCTTATTAAATAAACTAAATCGTAAAATCTATTAAGAAAATAACATTTACACTCACTGCACAGTTAAATATTCTAAATTTCGGACTACTAAATATTTCCCATGATAAGTGGAACCTCATACATCTGAACAGTATTTATAATGAATTGTAAAATTATATCCAACTCATTGAACAAAATATTTATTTTTTAGGGATTTTTTACAGAAAATTGACAAAAATGCCATCTTACCTTGGGGAATGGTTCTCCAATTACGTGGCAAAACATGGCCGCTTCTTCACCTGGCCGACGAGACTGTATTCTGGGAGTAACCTTCACATCAGGTATAGCTAAAATAGAGAAGTTTGAAAATAATACACGGCTGTGAATGGAAAAAGATTTTACATTTGTCTAAGTATTAAAATATTAACCTATTTAAGAGATTAAATTCGTAAAAAAAAATACGTCATAGTTGAGCTCACATTGAGTTTTGACACCTTAAAAAAGTATCAAAAAGTAATCTAAATTGTACTAAAAACAACTAAATAATTACCGTACCTAAAGGTATAACAACTGATTTATAACATGATAAATAGTTTTTACAAATATACTAAACATTAAATATTACAAGAGATGTATTGACGGTCATGAGCTCATTATTACCACATTCAAATTAAAATGAAATTAGTTTGTGATAAAACCTGCAATAATTAAATAAAACTATGAAATCGACCAAAAACTGTCTTTTTGACGTTGCAGTGTTTAATTTACATGGGTTTAATTTACTGAAACGCTAATTTATATTTATTTACAGCATGAACGAATGTTACGTAAATACACAAAAAAGATATCAATATTACTAGATATTAATAGCCAAGAGCATGTTGCTTACAGGTTCCAATCTAAATAAATGAAATGGGTTTGTGAGGCAAACTGTAAATAGATTAAAGCATCAATCGGAATGGAAACTGGGTTTAATTTACTTAAATGTAAAACTATATGTAATCGATTATTTCAATACGATTAAATGATCACACGATTGAATTAAATACAAAATGAAATGATCATTGTTTCGTTTTGTTAAATATAATATATTTTTAATATATTATGTTTGTATCCAATAGCAGAATTGATCTCATATCGTCTGAGTATGTAATGATTGTGTATTGTATGGAAGAATATTTGGAGTCATTTTTGGATGTCAATGAACTGTCATGGTAAAATTTTGGTGTTGTATTGTTAAGGTATTATTTAGGCGAATAGAGAAAGTAATGAGGCGTTATGAAAATATTACTGAACTATAAAATCAAAATTCCGTAAAGGTCGTCGTGCTTTTACATTCAGCTTTTTACAGAACCAAACACATTTTACGACTAGGCTAGTTTGGTACGTAATGGACTGAGACGAACAAATAAGAGTTTAGTTCATAGTTTTCCAAGAGAAGTACAAAAAGGTAATCTAGCCTCTATATTACTCCTTTCTACAAATACAACTAAGTTCAAGATAATACCTTATTTGAATCAACAATTATTAGCTACTAGGACCTGTGTGCTGGGTAGTTTTCCTTTAAAAGCTAGAATGGAACTAATTTCAATAACTTAATTAATCGAATTACTGACTTATAGCAAACGATCAAACCAACGGGTAATTTCGTATTATACCATGCCCACAGATAAATCGTCTTCCCAAATAAGATTTTAATTAGTTTAAATAACAAAATCTTCCTACTCTAAGCTAACCTAACTTAAGGGCTTCATTTTACCAATTTAGGTGTAGTAATGCGAAAGCAACTAATCACATTACATTTATACCAGCTAACTATAATCAAACATGTAGTTATCACTCACTATGCACGGTGAGCACGTGGGTCTGAGTAACATCTCTGTTCCTCTGGGCGTGACACGTGTAGTTCCCGGCATGCACCAGCTGTATCCTGGTCAGGTAGAGGGAACCGTCCGTAAACACCCTCACTTCGTCCTCCCCCAGAGACGACAGATCGGCTGTGTTCCTCCTCCAGACGATGGGAGGGGGAGGAGTACCACTGACGTCACACTTGATCTCCACGTTGTCCCCTACCCTTGCACTCAGGTGGTTCACCTCAAGCGCTTTGTCCAGCGAAACCACTGATAGGCCTGAAAAAGGTTAAGGGTTTTGTGACCTAGAGAATACTTTTGCGTGAAAGGATTAAAACAACGTATACATTTTGAGAAGGAATCTGTTTTAAACTTATTTCTTCTCTAGAATAACTACTAATTACTAACTAATTTCTTATTTATATGTCATGCTTTGCTTGCATTGATCCTTTTTTCCTCTGCAAGATACATTCGTAGTTTAGCCAGATGATTTCGGAGGGGAGTGCCCTATACCTGATTCCCCATCCACCTGGGAAGTGGCCAATTGTTTAAGATATGGGAAAGTTTTAGGTACTTAAAGGTCAATAGAAAGGTTCTATCATACAGACTATAGGTATGGCCATACCTTAACACATTCTCTTAGTTTCTTAACTTTATACTAAATGTGTTCCTATCTCAAAAATCGTGATTTAGTTTACTTAATCCTATCTAAAATACTTAGAGTCCTCGAGAGTGATACTGTTGGTCTAAAAGTCCAACACAAACGAAAAACAACTTCTATAAAAGTTAGAACTACAGATAAAACCAAGCCTATTTCACCGGAGAAATATATAATGTAAAAAATAGCCATTAAACTGAACATAGATTTTATGGGAGTGCTATTACCAATTAATAATATAGCAACACTCAATGCCTGGTTCAAATATCTCTATATTGTATCCAACTGTCAAACTTCACCGACCTATCACAAGCATCATCTCCTCAACTTGAGGATTTATTTATAGAAGTTTACTAGGACACCACTAACTTATCCTATCCCAGTTTATGTTGAAGTGTACTTTGCACTTACTGTACAGTTTGCTGAAGGCAGCGTAGAACTCTGCCCTGCTAAGCCGACTGTCCTTGTCTGCATCATCGTATGTTATCATGTCTCTTAGTGCGCAAATTTGGGACAACTGGCTCAACTGTTCTCGCTCTGCGACCTGTTGGAAACAATATTTTTTTAGCATCAATAAACCTATTTGATAGGGTCTTCGCCAATGGGGAAGCGAGCTGGTCTAAATACTTTAAATATGTAATTCAAAAATTATTAATAATGTAGGTATTTTAAGCCAAGGTTAATCCACACCAGGGAGTACCGCATCCACAGTGCATGCCTATAAACATCCACAATTTATAGTGGTAGAGCACAGGACTTCAGTCATTGAGGTCCAGGGTTCAAATCCCGCCAAATCACTAATACAAGTATTCCAGGGATAATGCCATAACCCCTAGGCCTAGCCTGAAATAATGCAAAAAACAATCCCAGGATCGACCCTAGAACAATAACAGTGTACTGTATTCTCCAATGGAAACGGAATGAGGATGCGTGTAGGATTACTTGCAAAGCGGGGACGAATAAATTGTGCACGAGTTCAAAAAGGGGTTTTAAAATAATTTGACTAAAATTATGATAATCAAAGTGAAAGTATGCGTGATAAAAGGATAATGTCAAACAACTCCAGATGTTTTCCTACAAGTGACTAAATCATCGCAGTATTAGAGTGGTTTGGTTCCTACACAGTTCAGCCATTAACTAAATTTGCTTTATATATTTGTTAGTTCTAAATTTTTGGCAGCTGAGTTGGTAATTTGATTGCCTAATACCCTAATACTCATAAGGCCAACGTATTGTTGAAAAAGGCAGCAGCTTTTTAATTTAAAGAAACAAATCACAGGTGTCAACGATTTAATTAATCACTTTTATTAAACGAACATTATCAGATTAAACCTACACAATACTTTACCCGTCTTTCACTCGTATTTGGTTTATATTTAAGCTGATGTTATATTTCTATTGTTAATTTAAGATATCTTTTTGAATTTTCGGGATTTGGTGTAATTTTTTATACAAAAACATCGTCAATCCATCCTGACTGTGATAGAATGTGCTAAACTGACGTGAAATGATAGAATATTAATAGCAATCACAGGGTTAAAGCTAAAAACTATGTTCTACAATCTATATGCAATAATCGTTAACTCACTAGGTCCAGTTCATCAGTATCTAGTAGACCGTTGTTGTTTTCGTCGTACATTCGGAACATCTTGGAAACCAAGTACTCCTTTCCAGAGGCTCGCGGGTCAGATCCCATCATCTTGGCGTGGTTGAACAGAAGAAGATTGTCCTGCAAGAATTATGTATTTACATAAATTATATAAAATCGTTCATTGTGTGTTTGGTCTTAGAATACAATGGTAACCACAACCATACATACAGAATGTTTTAAAAAGATGCTCCAGTTTCCTAAATGTTTTATTAAAGTTATATAAATATGAATACATTAGAGATATGAGTAAAAATAATCAAACAAAAGGTTATATCGAATCTTTGTGTAAATAAAGTGAAAAATAAATTGTTTGTATGTTAATAAAAATATATAAAATTTGCTATAATTTCTCTTTTATTAGGAGTAAAAATAATCAAACAAAATGTTACATCGACTCTGTTAAGTAAATGAAGTGAAAATAGAATGGTTTTTATAGATATATAAAAAATGCTAATGTACAGGATAACTAAATTAACTTTATACTCTTTTTACCATCATTAAACTTATATACACCCAATTAAACAATCAGAGTCAAGTTAGCTTACAGTGAACTACCCAAAGTCGTGAGTTTCAAAACGCATATTTTAACTTTAAACTAATTCAAATTGTAATGTGACGGTAGTAGAGTATGTTAATTGAAATTACATAATACATTTGACTTCTTTTGAGATGGGGCCTAAACAGCTCATATAAACTTTACTTTGATGACCTTTTTCCTTTTGACCTTTTCAAAGGCTTCGTTTTCTCCTTAGGCTAATCTTTGTGTCAACACCAGTAAGTTTTCTACCTCCTACTTTATACAATTGTCACTCCTACTATGTTTGAAAGGCAACCGTGTTGTAATAACTTGCATTTCTTTCTATTGTTATCCATCCCTCCACATTACATATACATAAAGCATAAGCCTTAAACGTACAAAAACCATATACACTACCTTAAGTATTTCATACTCCTGCAGAGAGCACTCTTCTTTGTCGTAGTACAAGTCTGTGTCTGCCTCGTTGTCCTCAGGATTACCATCGGGAAGATCAGGGAAGCTGCTGTTGGTAGCAGGAATTGTTACAGGAGATGTCGTAGATGAAACTGTTTCTAGCTCTACTAGAGATATGTTCTCAGCCTTCTTGATTGGAGTCCCATCTGCAAGTAAGAAAAAGTCGGTTGATAGTCAACGGCAAACTTGGCAAATTTTTACAATAACATTAAGATTTGAGGAAGAAATTCCATCGATAGACTAAGAAAGATTATAAAATGTTGATCAGTCATTCAAATTGGGAGCACTAAAAAGTAATCTCTCTTACGTACACGATCACGTACCCAAAAACCTACGGGGCTTAGTTGTGGGTTCTGTGTTTAGTTGTGACTTACTGCGGCTTAAATAAGCCTGTCATTACGTTTACCATGGTTTTAGTGGTAAAATTTCACCAAGATATTTTTGATGTTTTAAGTTCTGTGAATGTATATACAACATAGGAGTGTGAACCGCCTTTACGGGGATTGCTGTGGTGTTCCACCAACATTTGTTACAATATTTAGTACTGAAAAATATTATTAATTGCACAAAATATCTTTATCCCAAATATTTTTAAGAAAGGGTAAGTCACTGACAAAACATAGGCTACGATATGATGTCAAAGTTCTAAATATTACATAAAATCTTCAACAAAAACTGGAAACTTCAAGGAAAAAGTCAAGCAGTAATTTTTCAAAGACATTACACTTTTACACCTACCTGGGGATATGCACGAGAACGAGTGGTCCACTACGATATTTGAGTTAGTAAGACACGACGTTCTATGTAGTTCACAGTGGTTGTCGTAGAGTCTACCATCAGACCCACACACTGCCTTCTGGTGCTTACTACATCTCCTTTGACACACACACTGTGCCACACCGTTCACTACATGGCACTCTCTGCCCTTGCCACAATACTGGACTAGACATGGGTCTGAAACAATACAATATATGTTAGTTCCACAGTGCTTGCCATAGAGTCTACCATCAGACCCACACACTGCCTTCTGGTGCTTACTACATCTCCTTTGACACACACACTGTGCCACACCGTTCACTACATGGCACTCTCTGCCCTTGCCACAATACTGGACTAGACATGGGTCTGAAACAATACAATATATGTTAGTTCCACAGTGCTCACCATAGAGTCTACCATCAGACCCACACACTGCCTTCTAGTGCTTACTACATCTCCTTTGACACACACACTGTGCCACACCGTTCACTACATGGCACTCTCTGCCCTTGCCACAATACTGGACTAGACATGGGTCTGAAACAATACAATATATGTTAGTTACACAGTGCTCGCCATAGAGTCTACCATCAGACCCACACACTGCCTTCTGGTGCTTACTACATCTCCTTTGACACACACACTGTGCCACACCATTCACTACATGGCACTCTCTGCCCTTGCCACAATACTGGGCTAGACATGGGTCTGAAACAATACAATATATATTAGTTCCACAGTGCTCGCCATAGAGTCTACCATCAGACCCACACACAGCCTTCTGGTGCTTACTACATCTCCTTTGACACACACACTGTGCCACACCGTTCACTACATGGCACTCTCTGCCCTTGCCACAATACTGGACTAGATATAGGTCTGAAACAATACAATATCTGTTAGTTCCACAGTGCTTGCCGTAGAGTCTACCATCAGACCCACACACAGCCTTCTGGTGCTTACTACATCTCCTTTGACACACACACTGTGCCACACCGTTCACTACATGGCACTCTCTGCCCTTGCCACAATACTGGACTAGACATGGGTCTGAAACAATAGGTACATGTATATGGTTCACAGGGAACCCATTCAGATTTAAACACAGTTTTTTATGTGCTTCTGACCTCTATTCTTTTATACAAATAGAAAAAGATACAATAAAGGCCTAATTATAGTTAACCTTGAACCTTTTAAGGGTCTTCTTAAAAAAAGAAAGTGCCTGGCATAACATTACTAATTTATAAAACTATTTGAAAAATATTTCAACATATCAGGGTGGTAAAAAAGTCCCTGGACAGTTGAATATTTTAAAAAATAATGCAGATAGAGCTATAATACTTGGTACAAAGTTACAGGGCATAAAACTCTATTTTAACACATATTCAGTGATCCAATAACCCTTCAGGGGGACGGCCCACAAGGAGTCAGAAGAAAATCTTAAACGGAAGCATAGGTCAATATGCACATCAAATTAAAGGTCTTTTTTTGTAGAATACAATGCCGCAAACCGCACTTCAAAAGGTTGATCCTGCGCAAAATGGCAGATGTTCAAAGGTTTCTTGAATCCGCCATTTTGAATCTTTGAACGACTGCCATTTTTTACTCAGGCATTCTTTTGAGCTTGAATTTACGGCATCGTAATCTAAAAGTGAAGACCTTTAATTTGATGTGCATATCGACCTATTCTTACGTTAACAATTTTCTTCTGATTCCTAGGGCTGTGCCCCTGAGGAGTAATATAATAGCAATGTAAATTAAATGAATCTTTGAACAACTGTCATTTTGCGCAGGATCAACCTTTTGAAGTGCGGTTTGCGGCATTGAATTCTACAAAAAAAGAACTTTAATTTGATGTGCATATTGACCTATGCTTCCGTTTAAGATTTTCTTCTGACTCCTTGTGGGCCGTCCCCCTGAAGGGTTATTGGATCATTGAATATGTGTTAAAATAGAGTTTTATGCCCTGTAACTTTGTACCAAGTATTATAGCTCTATCTGCATTATTTTTTAAAATATTCAACTGTCCAGGGACTTTTTTACCACCCTGTATAATTCTGTGATAGAGGAATAAAAGTTTCAAAATATTGGTCATGAAACGTAACTGATCTATAAATTGTTTGAAGAAGATTTTGTTAATATAGTCAAAAACACTGAAAAAAGACCATTCAATCACATACATATTTCTTTTGGTGATCTGAAAGATAATTTTGTGGCATTAAACCTGGCTAAAAGAATCTTTATGTAATTGAAACTGTAAAAATAAATTGCAATATCTGATTCGTTTAGCTGTAAATACTGTTCAGGACAAAATGGCTCTTTGTAGAACAATGTGCAAACTATTACAACATTGTTAAATTAAATTAAAGTTTATTTATAACCGTAAGCCATGACAATAGATAGTTTTAATTAAGCCATATAAGGTCTATTTCATTGGCGAACCATTAATTTAGTACCTTTTCATATTCATCATAATTTATTTAAAGTTTTCAACCCCTTTCGTTTTGTTCATATATTTGGTAAGATTTATGAATTGCATATCAATAATTCCAAATCTGTTAATTTATTGAATATTTTCTTGTAATATACCATATTATTACTTAATGTTTTCTAATAAAACATGACAGGCCACAGGACATTACACAAAGCCTTTTATCATTTTATATAATATTTTATATATTATTTTTATATATTTTATATATTATCTTTATATATATTTTTAGTTAAAGTCCTTTAAAAACCTTCATCTGGTTTATTCAATTATTTATTTAATCTAAAACCTTTCATGATATACCTTTACAGGAAATAATAAACAGTTTCAATACGTTTGAAATAAAAAATTTAAGTTAATCCATCATCAAAGTTATGATCAGTAGGCCTACATCCATTCCTAAAAGGTGCCAACATTTATTAATAACATACATGTACTTCTGTAAGTTTATGAGAATAATATTTTCTACAGGTAGAGAGAAATTCAAACTATCCTAAAACATGCTAGTAAAATAAACATTCAAGCTTCTTTATTGAGAACGGAATACAGTAAGGGACGTAGTAGCATATTAAGCAGCTCTTAAACCCAGCTGTTCCCACGATAGCCCAGTTTAGCTCCATTCCTGAATACCTGGGCGTTACATTATCCTGCTGTGAATTTAATATTTTTGATATAAGATATATTTATCTCCATAAATATCTTCTTTGCAATATATTTCTAGTTGTTATTCTTTATCAAAAGGTCCATAGAGTGTTTTTTTTACACAAAACATATTAGAACTGCTGTGAGACACTTTGTAACGACAAAAAAACTCACATGTTGGTATACCTGTTTTATTTATTTATTTGCTGATCAGCCGTTATTCAAAGTTGCATAGCTATTACATTTACGGGGGAGAACTTCTGTGAATAAGAACCAACTTGTCGTTTTAAGAAGCTCAAAAAGAATGTATTATTGTATTGGTATCATGCAAAGAAATGTTCGAAATAAAGCTTTTATGTGGTATATTCAAGTAAAACAACTATTTTTAGACTTACCAAATTTAAGAAACCGGATCTGTATAAACAAACTTAAACCTACAATACTTTAGCTTGTAAAAACACCATGTTGAATATTATTCACAAGAAATGTTCAATAACACTAAATCTCAGACAACTAGAACAATGTATTTCAACCCATCAGCAACAAAGTAAAGAAAACACAAATAAAACACGTATGAGCTTGTTGTGTCATTTAAATAGTGTCTCGCAGTACTTGTAATCAACATATTTATTGCCTTACTATTCTACAGCTTCCATTACTCATTGAATCGTGACTTACTTTGTTCTGTGAGTGAGTCTACGCTGTCTACATAGTCTTCTGGCACTACCGTTGTCACTATTGGCAGTGGTTGTGGAGAGGCTTCTTTTCGATGCCTCGACCTCTGTAAAATATCGAAGTAATGTAAGAAATTAACTATAAACAGAAAACCTGTCTCTTAAAATAAGACATGTATAATTGAGTACTAAACTAAAAACTATGAACTGTTGAGATATAGTAGTTTACGCAACGATCGCGTTAAGTGAGTCTTTACGACACGAGTAGAAAATTTAAGGCACGAGCCTTGGCGAGTGCCTTAAAAACTTCTACGAGTGTCGTAAAGACTATTAACGCGAGTTGCGTATACTACTTTACCTACGACCGTTTTTTTAATTACTATCAATCTGGATTTAATTACTAACAATCACTACTGATAACTTTTTAGAGAGGTTATGTTTTCGTGTATTGTCATTGCCACTGAAAGTGATGCAACGACTTGTTGTATAATCAGCTGATTTCCTGTAATTACGTGTTTGTTAAACTTCGTTAAATATTACATTGCTAGCAGCATTCTTACCATAAATAATATTGTACCAGGTACAATTCGGCAAATATTTCATTTATTTTTGGACTTCCACCAACTTAATTAAGAATACGCGAGTATCAACATGAACAAGTCGGATCAACAATTAAATTGGTCAACTGATCAGCTGATCAGCTGATTAGTTGAAGTTCGAAGCATTACAATTTTAATTCTTTTCTCTCAGTACTTGAACCTCATTGGCCCGTTACCTGTGTGGATATGAGAAAACTATGCGGATATGAAATGAAACTATGCGGATATGAAAGTAAACAGCTGTAAAGTGAAACTTTTCAATTCTAAGAACTGGACTGAACTGGCTACTTTAAAAAACGGTCGTAGGTAAAATTGTTTACTAAACAACTCAAATCATTTTTTATTTGATTTAATTCCCCTTACACATGTCTTAAGTTTAGAGAGTCCATTACTTTGTGGGATTACTTTTAAACTATTCAAAAGACACTTGGCAATATCTGGTTTTAGGTTGTTTTCCTTCCAATATATGACTCCATATGTGATACATATATTTTTATTGTTTCTTTGAACAATTTCTATTTAGAATCATTAATAAAAATGTAAATATAACGCTGGCAGAGAAATTGTTTTACTTCATTTAAATCACAGAAGATATATTTGTTTACAGAAGTCGAAACTAAAATCTAAATAAAAAGTTGTTGTGTTTACGTAACAATCACCTTAAATACTATTGCTTTTCCAACCAGTAGCATTTTATGGAAGACATTCCTCGCTAGTACCTCTCTCTTCAGCTTTATATGAAGTTAGGTAAGCCACACACCTATTTAAAAAAATAAAAATGCCATTTGCTTTTATTGCGAAAAAGTTTTTCAGTAAAAAACATGTATACACATTGTTTAATTCTTTTCACAAATTATTGTAATTATATTAATTAATTGTAATGAGCTTGAATCAATCATTGACGAAACCAAATATTACGATTTGCTGAGAAATATTACCTTGTCAAATTATATTCTAAAAAATCTGTACCTAGTAACGTTAGTTGTAGTTTTTCCTGATATATATTTTGTCAATGTAAATAAAAAAAAGTTATTTTTGGTATTGAAAATACGTTATTAAACAAACACTTGCTCATCCAAAACCATTACACAGTTAAATCTACAGCTCGGCGGTGAACATAGCACGTCCTAGATCACCGGAATACGACTGTAATCACCAAAGGCCATTGTGAAGCCATTCATCAGAGCCAAAGCTAGGAAGCCCTAAATGGTCATAAATGAAAGAGTTTTATCGATCATCGCCCCCGAGGGCATCTTTAATCTCCGCCACAACTCTATCGAGACTGAATACTGTTTAATCCGCAGAAAAGTAATTAATGTGTCACAGCCAACTGTTTGAATAATGATCTCAATGGGATTACAGGGTTAAATTACCTCCCTCTTTTTGAAACCGTTGAGGAATAATTGGTAATGCAGATTTGGAATGGATGTAGGTGTATTTTATCGATCTGGGTTTAGGAGAGGTTGAAATGTTAATGATGCACGATGAAATGTGATACTTATCTATACATTTAATTATGATTTTATTAAATAAATATAACCATACTATGTAAGGTTTTGCCAAATGTTAAGCTCTAAAGTACTAAATTATGTTTTTAATTATTTTAAGCTATGTACACTCACATTGCTGTGTAATAAAATATAAGGAATACTGTTCCGTGACACACATATATTTCTTGGAATCATACTGCCAACTGGCTTCTATTTTTTTACCATCGGCATTTCTTTCACCAAAACCAATTGATTAGTACCATAATTTTGAGATTTAGGCAAATATGAGGATGGGATCTATGTTTTACCCAGGACCTCAAAGTGGAAATGTGTGTTTTTGTTTTTGGGAAGCATATACAAAATTTAAAACCCCATTAAGTGACATATTATTTTCAAGGCCCTTTGGTGGAGGATAATAAGTAGAAACCAGAGGTGTCAACCTATTACAAAATGACTACAAGGGTTACGAAGAGTTTACTTTTTCTTGTATAGTCAATTACAAGATTAAGAGAAAATATCCACACTTCTGCCTAACACGGTAAATAAAAATTTTGTCTTTATTATATTTAAATACACAACGCATTGGGAAAAAAAATTACTTTCATTTATTTAAATTCATGGTAATACATACAAGCAAAACCCCTTTTAAACCCCTTTTTTTTGTTACCCCAAAAAACATGATTTAGTTGTGCTCTTATCCCCTTTAATTTTTCTAAACTCCAAACTCATTTATTTCACATAAGTTAGGAGTAAAAGTAACGTACACTGAAAGGTCGTCCCTGGTGACTAGAACCTGTCAAGAGCTGTCAAACGACCAAACTTGACCTGACAGCAACAGCACTCAGGGCCTCGAGACAAACTAACAGTAAAACTTATCATATCTCCACAGTCCAGGGAATTCTGCTGTTGATAAACTAAATTTGTGGAAAATTTGTAATGTGCACAAATGCGATAAAACTTTCATTTTTTGTTTTAACCATTAATTATTTACAAAAAAAAACTTGTCTACATTGTGATTCTACTTTTCACATATTGGTTTATCGAAAAACTAATTGTCAAAAGATTGCAAGTCAGTTAGACTGCAATGATAAGATAGGTCTCAAAACTTAGCTGAATTCTATTGACCTAACAAGCTTGTTAAATGATTTGCAAATTTGTGATATAAAAATAAATTTTTCACCACACTATGATGTTTTTGGCTGTATTACATACGTTAATTGGTGGCTGAAAGTTACGTTTTGCTGGCCATGCTAGCTGTTATCGTAATTTGGGGACCGAGCAGGTTTTTACAGCCCTGGGCCGCAAAATCAGCTGTCTGCTTACTTACTTAAAACATGAATGCATTTTAAATACACAATCAAAATCCATAGCATTGCAATAGAATTGTGTTATTGTCACTGTTGCGTGGTAACTATTTATTTTTATTTTTGCTGATTCCTCAAATTATTTCTTCACATAACCTTAAAGTTGTAGTTGTGTTGACTATCAGTGTGCATTATTATAGTGGTGAATGGTGGTAATAGTGAATAGTGTGGTGAAAAATAGTTCGTACCACGGACCGAAATGGTTTTGCAGCTCTCGATCAATTTAGGTTCTCGACTTCGACTCGTACTTAAAAACTATCTCGAACTGGCAAAACCTCATTTTCGGCCCTAGGTACGAAATATACAATTAATATTTTCATTTTCAGTAATATTGGTTAACTCGTTTTACGTTAACAAATATAGAGTCAGAAACACTGTGATTAAATTATGAGAAAACTATATAAACATCGTATCATATCCGGTGACTATTGCATTTAAATTCTGTAAACAAAATGTTTTTGTGGATTGATTTAAACTTGTAACACTGCAACCTGCAGATAACTAAATTAAACTTCAATCCAACCTACGACAACTTGAATGATATTGACACAACAAAGTTATTTCTGAAACTTCCCAACGAGCTGAACAAACCGAAAACTAGTTAACTATCATAAACAGATGATTCGTAAGTGTGTTTTGAACTTCCCAACTGAACCGAGTTAGTTCTGTTTATTTTAGGTGTAAATTCATTACAACATTTATTTTCTCTATAGTATAAAATATATTTGGTATGTTAATTAATGTATTTTTTTAGTTTATTTTCTTAATTTTCTATCTTACTTCGATTGTTTTATGTTTCATCTTAATAGAGTTATTTCACTACTTAATCAACAAGCAATCAACTGATTGATTTATTTACCTATTTACTTAAAACTTAAACTTATATCTGTATTCATTGTTATTAAAACGTTTTTTCTATCCTCCGCCAACTTTTTGATCGTATAAGAACAATAAAGTTGTTTCAACACACCAAATAGCACTTTCCTTCATTTAGCCCTATAGATATCCTAACGTGAACTTTTTACAATATAACTGAACCCAAGCTAAAGCAATACAACTTACTAACACCATACATAGAGTTAAATTACTTCTTATTTTATGATACTTTATCACTCTTAAAATGTCCATACTGTAAAAAAAACATTCAGGACCAAATCCGAGAGAAAAGCTTAGATTTTGAGCTTCATCGAGTCCAAACTAATGTAAAGTCATATCCTATCAAGATAGAGTCTTGGGCCGTTAAGTGTATAAGCCGCTCTATAGAGAATAGCAAGGGATGGTCAATTTATCTTAGATGACTGACCAAGCTTTTAACATGAATTGAATGGACCAAGATAGTAATCAAATAAAAAACTGCTTAAGTAATAATCACGACTATTACAATGTGCCACACATACGGCTAATAAAATATCACTTAATTTTTCGAATTATTTGAGTGAATTTTTTATGTTTTTGATGGAGTTTTAGGAATTAAACTTAAAAATATAGTACTGATTTTGGAACCACGGCGTGAATGTCAACCAACAAGCAGGAACAAATCGTTAAACATACACCGGTTATAATGTCTGTTATATTTTCAGCTAACAATGAAGATTGAACTACAATTTCTCGACACGCAATGTGTGTAACATACTTATCAGTTGGTTCAACAAAC